CCTGCTCTCTCTCTCTCTCTCTCTCTCCTAGAAATTAAAAAAAAAAAAAAAAAGCCATTTTGATGACTTCCCAATGTAACCAAATTATTTATTTTTAGTTTCCCTTAATCTTTTTTTTTAATAGCCTCACCATTTTGACTTGTAAGAGTTCCTAGAATCTTTTTGAGGGTACTTAATTTGTGTTCAAATCTCCTCTCTACCTTTGATAAACTTTGGATTCTAGGGCAGGTCATTTGACTGGCTTACACCTACATTTTCTCTTCTGCAAATTAAAAGGCTTGACCCTGAGTGCTGTAACAGAGGCTTTTCTTTCTCTACTTCTTCTCCCTCTACCACATCCTTTTCCCACATGGTAGGGAGAAGGATCATTTACAAATGTAAGTCATATCCTGTTATTTCCCTACTGAATACATTTCAAAAATTTCCCCATGTACTTAGAATAAAATCCAGACTCCTCCTTTTGACCCTATTAGGGGCCTAGGTGAGCTGGACTCTGCCTGTGTCTCCAATCTGTTTCATTTGCTCAATACCTTTTAGCCACACTGACCACTCACATTTTTCATAGCATTTCACAGTTTATAATTATGTGTGGTTTTGTTTTGTTTAACTTGTTACTTGTTCCCCCTACTAGACTAGATGCCCATTGAAGGCAGATAGTGTCTATGCATCTACCGATAAAACCTAATGCACAATGAAACTTGTTAGACAGATGCTCACATATTTATCATTCTTAAAAATCCTCTGATTTCTGTTTCTTTCAGATAAGTGTACAGCTTTTTCTTTCCCTCGGTAGTATTTATCAAGTCTTTCCTACCACTTGGACATTCATATTAAAATGGATGTCTACTTATATTTTTTAATAGCAATTTTTTGGTAGGTCTTAAATTGCAATGCCATTTCAAGGCTTAAGTCTCATATAGCTGTTTCTGTTGCATTCTTTAGCTGATTTATTTCTAGAAGAGTTGATTTTTTAAAAAGTTTATTTATTTATTTTTGTAAAGAGAGCACGAGCAGGGGAGGGGAAGAGAGAGAATCCCAAGCGCAGAGCCCGATGCAGGGCTTGAACCCACGAACTGTGAGATTATGACCTGAGCTGAAGTCAAGAGCTGTACGCTCAATGGACTAAGCCATCCAGGCGCTCCTAGAAGAGTTTTTAAAGTGATTACAGTTTCCAGCGATTTGTTTGAATGTGGCTTTGTAACTGCGCCCTACCTGTGTTATAAAATGTGATTCTAGGCTGAGCTCATTTTAAATTTGTAGATGTTATGTTTGTTGCGTAGGTATGCCAGAAATTTACTCTTTTCTTTTTTAATGTTTGTTTATTTTTGAGAGAGGGAGAGAGACAGAAACAGCACAAGCAAGGGAGGAGCAGAGATGGAGACACAGAATCCAAAGCAGGCTCCAGGCTCTGAGCTGTCAGCACAGGGCTCCACGCAGGACTTGAACTCATGAACCGCAAGATCATGACCTAGGCTGAAGTCATGAGCAACCTAGGCACCCTGAAATTTACTCTTTTTAATAGTGTCAGTATTGATATCTGTCATCTGAAATACAAGAATCTTTCTGAAAATTTAGCTTAATAGTGTCACTGTGCTACCCAGCAACAGAAAATTATTCATTTTTTGGGTTGAGTCACCAAGATAATTCTTTAGTCGTTTACCTAGTGGTTTAATGAACTAGAGCATTTGCCCAAAGGGAGCCCTTTCGTCCCCTGTCAGCACTTACAGTGCAGCCTGTGGTGTATCTCAGATGAAGTGTGGTAGGAGGGTTCATTCTGTTCTCTCTCTTCAGATTTAAGCTTAGGATATTGACTCTTTTTTTTTTTTTTTTTTTTTTACTACTTTCCCTTTCATTTTTGTATTTGACAGTAACTGCGGGGCTGAAGCTCTGGGGAGGTATTTGGCTCTGTCCCCTGAAGTAGTTCCAGTGGTTGAACTATCTCTAGCAACTGAGCACATTTCATTTAAAGCTCTTCAAAGCTGAGTAAATCTTGGCAGAACCCCATAGAAAACAACATGTAATTCTTTTTTAAAGCCACCATATTATTAAGTAAAGAATTGGGGTAAAGTATATTGCTTTAGTGGTCTTAATAGTACTATTTAAAAAGGTCCTTTTACCATTATCATTACAGTGGCTTTATGATATGGTCCAAGGGCCTTACTAGGAAGAAATCCTGAATCCTGAGGGGTGCTTAGAGTAACAGGGCAAAGGCTTTGTAAGATACAGTTCAGAGTTCCAACTCTTTCACCATCCACAGCCTCTTCCTGGTTGCTGTGAAGGAGGTCATAGTTTGTAAGGCTCTTAAGCTGTAAGCTGACAGGTAGGCCTGAGGTGGTCTGATGTTGTGTAAAGGGCATGGGTTCGGGGAGTCAGGAAGAGCTGCATTAAAATCTCTACTCTGCCATCTAATAAGTGTGGTTGATTAAGTTATTTCACCTGAGTCCTAGGTCCTTATTTGTAAAAATAAGGATAATAATACCTACCTTGTTGAATTAAATGAGATAAGTTATATGTGAGATTTATTGGCATGTAGTAGGTTCTCAGTAAATTAATGTTGTTTTGTCCTTTGCATTAATATTCTGTGTATTCTCTGCTGGTGGTGGAAATTCTCTGCATCCACAAATTCAGAAGTATCTAGCAAGGGTCATTTTAGTGTCACTTGCAACTGTCCCTCCATGGATGTAAATTTGAAGGGAGGGTATAATAAAGTTGGCCAATTCATCTGTTTCTGAGGAAATGAACAAGGAAGGATGGCATTTGGGTAATCAGAAAACATTATCTTGAAATAATGAAAAATGATTTTAAAAAATGATTTACATTATAATATTTTGAAAGCTCAGTGATGTTAATTAAAATTATCTTGGTTTTTTTGGTGTGTTTTTTAGAAATGTTTATTAATTTTGAGAGAGAGAGAGTGCATGAGTCAGGGAGGGGCGGAGAGAGAGGGAGAGAGAGGGCAGGCTCCACACTGTCAGCACAGAGCCCGATGCCGGCTCAATCCCACAAACCGTGAGATCATGACCTGAGAGAGTTGGACGCTCAACCAACTGAGCCACCCAGGCGTCCCTAAAATTATCTTTTGTTATTAAACAGTACTTTTTTATACCTGTCTCCAGGGAAGGAAGAATATGCAAGACGGAGCAAGTGATGGTGAAATTCCTAAATTTGATGGTGCAGGCTATGATAAGGATCTGGTGGAAGCCCTTGAGAGAGACATCGTATCCAGGAATCCTAGCATTCATTGGTTAGTCTTTAATTTCTTGAATTAAAGTAGCAGAGAAAGTAAGTTACTAGTTGGCCTGGTGGGAGTCTTTTCTTCTTACCCACTAATGTCCTGACTGTGACTTCATCCATAATATATTAGTGTGTAGAATTGATAGGACAATTCTTCTTTAAAAATATAATCAAGACATTTTACATATTAATTTGCTGTTGACATAACTGACGAAGGTTGTTCTTTGAATAACATGTCCTAATTAATAACTGCCGTACATTTTCACTGATCATTTTATGCACTATTAATTAATGTTCTTAATATAATAATAGCTTCATAAATAAAAACTGAAAAGAATTAGTATTGCCCCTAAGAATAAACATGAAACTTTGCTGTTGTTGCAAAGGGATGACATAGCAGATCTGGAGGAGGCTAAGAAGTTGCTGAGGGAAGCTGTCGTTCTCCCGATGTGGATGCCTGACTTTTTCAAAGGGATTCGAAGGCCATGGAAGGTGAGCATTTAAAATTAGGATAAAACAGGTATAAATATGTGGCTGACGTGAGAATGAAAGACAGTATTATGGTTGCTTTACATGCTTGTTAATGTGGTGAGTAGAGGCTGGAAGAGGTTTGTGTACCCCCAACTACCCGTATTTGAATTTGTAGTTGGGGAACGTCGCCTCTGCACGGCAAGTGGGGGAACTGAGTGTTGATACAACAGTCTTCAGTTAAGTCACTCCCCTCAGGTTTGCCAAGCTAGGGATGAGCTTTAAGAATTTTCTAGATGTTGGTTACTACAAATAAAAAGTTAAGCAAATTAAATAGGTAGCCTTTTTATTCATTCATTCATTCATTCACTCATTCATTCATTCATTCATTCAGTTATTCATTTATTTGGTAATCTGTACACCTAACATGGGGCTCACACTCACGACCTCAAGGTCAGGAGTTGCCTGCTCTTCTGACAGAGCCAGCCAGGTGCCCCTAAACAGCAGGTAATCTTATAGAATAAGTGTTTGATCGAATAAATAACCTTTCTAAAAGTTGGCGTATTTCTCACTAATAATTGTTTTGATCACTTCATATAGGCATGGTATAATTCTTTAAAAAAATGTTTTTAATGTTTATTTACTTTGGAGAGAGAGAGAGACACACACACACACAGAAGTGTGAGTGGAGGAGGGGCAGAGAGAGAGGGACACACTGAATCTGAAGCAGGCTCCAGCCTCTGAGGTGTCAGCACAGAGCACGATGTGGGGCTCAAACTCACAAACTGCAAGATCATGACCTGAGCTGAAGTCAGAAGCCCAGCCAGCTGAGCCACCCAGGCGCCTGTAGGCATCACATAATTCTAAGACCTGCCCTCTACTTTAGAGTAAAAAGCCTGCCTAGGGCTAGTTCCTAAACCCATTGTTTTTATTTTGGCATCATAAAAAGAACCTTCTAACAATGGCTGCTTAGAGCTTTGTTTGGTCTTAGTCATAGGCAAATCTGAGTGGTAGGGTGAAATAAAATCGTGATCTTACTTTGCCCTTCTGAATTACCTAGGAAGGTCTGTTTCTCTTCTCAATATCTCTTCCTTTTCTGACAAGCCTAAAAGTAAAGAGGGTATTCCAAATAACTTGAAATACCCATAGCATTTTGATTGTCTTCTACAATTCAAAAACTTATATAGGCTGTTCTAGATCTATCAAACTTTGGCAACATATTACTGTACATTCCTTTTTTATTATAACTGTTAAAACAATATTTAAAAGAGAGAGAAGTAGGTATTTAAATGAGCTTTAAGACAGTAGGAATAGTAGGTATAAACCTGTCCATCACGATGGGCCCCGTAAATCTTTTTTTTTTCTTAAGTTTATGTTGAGAGAGAGAGAGATCGCTGCGTGAGAGCGAGCAGTGGGGAGAGGCAGAAAGAAATGGAGAGAGAATCCCAAGTGGACTCAGTGCTATCAGTGCAGCCTGATCAGGGGCTTGAACTCATGATCTGTGGGATCATGACCCTGGCCAAAACCAAGAGTTGGGTGCTTAACTGGCTGGGCCACCCAGGCGCCCCAAGCTCTGTAAGTTGGAGGGTGGTTTGCAAAGGTAGAAAGATCAGCTTGACCAGAAGTACGGCAGGTGGAGAGAGAGAGATGGTGGATTTGTGAGAGATGTCTAGAAGGTAAATGATAAACATTATGACTAATAGTTTATAGGGATGAGGAAGAGGCACAAGTTGCATGACCCCTGAATTCCAGACTTGAATTGAAGGAGTGTGCAGTTATTTCGGACACCAGCTACCCCACATTGGGCCAAACCTCATAGGTTGGGGGCACTTTTCCATGGGACTGTCCTCACTTCAGATGCCAACTACAAGGTTGGGCATCCCCAGGTCACCCTCACTTCTGGCCAGCTGGCTATACATTTGGGGGTTCTTACTACCCCTTTAGATTTGGTAATTCTCCAGAATGACTCACAGACCATAGGAAAGCTTTGTATTTACAATTACAATTTTATCATAGCAAAAGGAGGCAAATCAGATCTAGCCAAAGGAAGAAATGCGTAGGGGCAAAATCCAGAAGATGCCGGAAGTGAAGCTTCTGTTGTTTTTTTCCCCCATAGAATCGGGTTGCTTCACCCTCCTGGCACATGGGTGTGTGACAATACAGAGTCCTGCCAAGGAGGAAGCTCACTCAGGCTTCAGTGTGAAGGGTTTTTATTGGGGTTTCATTACATAGTCATGATTGATTGAAACACTGCCCATGTGTCTCAATCTCCAGTCTCCTTGCTCTGGAGGTCTAGTTGACATCACATGGCTCAAAGTCCTAACCCTCTAATCCCATGCTCGGTTTTTCTGGCAAGGCCAGCCACCATCTGAATCATCTCATTAGCATAAACTATACAGCAGCCTACCATGAGTCACCTCATTAACATAAAATTTCAGGATTCAAATGAAACAACAAAGACACTCCTGTCACTTTGGAAATTCCAAGGATTTATGGTCTTTTCCTCACAGGAACTGGGGGGAAAAACAGCTAAATTCTTTATCATGCAGCATGCATACTATGCACTGATACTGGAAATTGAGAAGAGGAACAGGTCTAAATAGAAACAAAGTATGCTTAGGTAAATACTCAGCAACTAATTGGCAATGGAGATGTGGAACTTAGGATGGAGTTTGGATTTAAAATTGTCATAATACGAATGTGGATGAGATTGTTCAAGGAGGGTCTATAAAGGGGAAGGAGCAAAAGGTTTGGAATTGCTGTGAGAATGTGAAGGGCGGAGGAAGAGGAGACAAAAGATGTGAAAGGCACTGAAGAGAGTCTGGAGGAGGAGTATCAGAGACGGGACAGAGTCAGAACCAGCCCCGGGAGCAAGCATTCCAGGAAGAAGGGAATGAACAGGCGTCAGCACCATCAGTGGACGGAGAGAAGGAAAAAGACAGGAGTTGAAAAATGACCCTCGGGTTAGTAAATTAGGTCATTTTAGTGAATTAGTAGAGGTGGAAGTCATTTTGTAGCTCATAGAGAAAAAATAGTAAACGTGCACCATTTCTTTAAGAAGGTTGGCCAAGAAGGGAAGGTGAGGTGGATAGTAGCTAGCGGTTATGTGGGGTCGAGTGGAGGAGGTTTTGTTAACAGGACAGACTTGAGTGTGTTTATATACTGACGGAAGGTGCCAATAGAGAAGGAAATACAGGAAACCGAGGGGATAAGTGAAATAGTAATGTCGTGAGGAGCTGAAGTTTATAAATACTGTACTGAGGAATCTATCTATGTACAGATGCTCATTTTGGAAATTAGCTCCTGTTGGAGGTATCCACACTTAAGCACATTACAGGAACCAGGAGGACATTCAAAGGGGATGTTAGAAAAAGAAATCATGAATTTTGCTATAGCTGGGCTTATACTGTTAGTTGTTTTTACAGTGTACAAAATATCAGTCTCATGCAAAGGAAAGATTAAAGGCTCCTTGCAAAGCAAAAAATACTTTTTAGAAAAGTAGTGTTTTAAACCCTAGTGACCTCTGTTCCTTCTAGGTGTCAAAATTCTATAGCTGTGTTAACCTTAAAAATAAAACAGTTACTTTACCAGCAAAAAAAGGGGGTTATTTAGGAATAGCAGAGAACTGCAATTTAGGACAAGCAAGCTATGGCAGAACCATAGGCAAGACTGGAGAACAAAGGAGAGGAGCCCTCGTTTATAGAGGAAAGGGGAAATTGGGAGGTCGGCTGCAAAGAGAAAGTGTGCTGGAGGGGCGCCCGGGTGGCTTAGTCAGCTGAGCATCTATCTGACCCTTGGTTTGGAGCACTGAGTTGGGCTTTGCACTGACAGCAGGAAGCCTGCTTGAGATTCTCCCTCTCATTCTCTGGCTCCCTGCACTCCCTTCATACTGCTCTTTCTCTCTCTCAAAATAAATAAAAAGAAAAGAAAAAGAAAGTCTGTTGGAGCAAAGTGTGAGGTTAAAGTATAGCGATTTCTCATTGGCTGGGTTATGGCACTCTCTCATTGGTTGGACTGTTGCCAAGGGAGGAGAAAAACGTTTCTTCCTCCTGCTGGGGTGGTGAAGTAGCTCAGGTAGCGGAGACCTGCAAGACAGATCTCTTCCGGTTGGGTCTGCAATCGACTGGGGGTTGTAGGGTGCGAGGGCTCCCCCTTCTGGCCTCCCAGCTCTATTTTAACCGAGTTTTCCTGTTACTACTTTCTACACTAGAAAAGGGTTTGGACAATTTGTGAATTTCTGAAACTTTTATGTGCACATAGTTTTCAAAATTTAAATCCCCAAAAGCTTATTAAATGGAAAGAATTAGTAAGATCATCAACTATTACACAAAAGAAATGTAGTGTCAACCATATATCTGCACTCCCATTAAAAGAGTCAGAAGAGGGGCACCTGGGTGGCTCAGTCGGTTAAGCGTCTGACTTCAGCTCAGGTCATGATCTCATGGTTCTTGGGTGTGAGCCCAGCGTCGGGCTCTGTGCTGACAGCCAGCTCAGAGCCTGGAGCCTGCTTCAGATTCTGTGTCTCCCTCTCTCTCTGACCCTCCCCTGCTCACACTGTCTCTCTCGCTCTCTCTCTCAGAAATAAATAAAAACATTTTTTAAAAAAGTGTCAGAAGAAAATAGGAAGTATTTGAAAATCCAGTAGTCTTCAACACTAAAGGATTGGTGTTCCTGGATATTTTTACTCTATATTGATTTAGTTTTACAGAAGTTTTTGTTTGTTTTCAGAGGTGAGAAATAAGTAAAATCTAGTTTTTAGTCTGTGTTCTATTTAGTGGCTCTTTCATCGGTAACACTTTTTATATAAACTATTGTCTAGCACATTAAGCTGACGAAATGCTAGCTAAATTGGTTATGCTTGGATTGCCACTGGATTTCAGTTACCTTACTAATAAGTGGATCTATTTTTGATTAAAAACTGTATATTATGTGTTGTGGAAGAAAAGTTTTGTCCCTTAGGAGGGCAAGGGATATGTAATTCTACTAGACGTGGTAGAAAATGTTTTATGTTTAAATAGAGCAGTCATTTAAAAAAGTTTTTTTTAACATTTATTCATTTTTGAGAGACAGAGTGCAAGCTGGGGTGGGGCAGAGAGAGGGAGACACAGAATCCAAAGCAGGCTCTGGGCTCTGAAGTGTCAGCACAGAGCCTGACACAGGGCTTGAACGCACAACCATGAGATCATGACCTGAGCTGAAGTCAGACGCTTAACTGACTGAGCCACCCAGGGGCTCCTAGAGTAGTCATTCTTAAGCAGTGCTCAATTTCAGATGTATCTTCTCCCAGCTTTAAGAAAATTGGGTAGGTTTTTTTTTTTAAAGCTTATTTATTTGTTTTGAGAGAGAGAGTACAAGTGGGGGAGGACCAGAGACGAAGAGAGAGAGAAATCCAAGCAGGCTCCACAGTGACAGCACAGAGCCCAATGTTGGGCTCAAACTCGTGAACCATGAGGTCATGACCAGAGCTGAAACCAAGAGTTGGACGCTTAACCAACGAAGCCACCCAGGTGCCCCTGGGTAGGTTCTTTCTAAATGTATCAGGAGATTTCTTATTGTCTGGGCCTTTTATTGTAACACCTATCTCTGACTACCTCAGATTCGAAATCAGTCTTCATTTCTTTAAATCTATGAAATGATACTCATGTCAAATGAACCATGATTTTGCTGTGATAATTGGGTTTACCTTTTGATGGGAATTTTTATGTACGTCAATAGGTGATGATACTTTATAAGAATGCATTTTAATCTGATAAAACATTTAATACATCTATTGAAATTTCAGGGTGTACTGATGGTAGGACCCCCTGGCACTGGGAAGACTATGCTAGCTAAAGCTGTTGCCACTGAATGTGGCACAACGTTCTTCAATGTTTCCTCTTCTACACTGACATCTAAATACAGAGGTGAATCTGAGAAGTTAGTCCGTCTGTTGTTTGAAATGGTGAGTGATGATATATATATTCACATTTCAAAGTACTGTCTGTGTAGACAAATGATATCCCTATAATCTAGACCCATTCACCTGGGTATCTGTTTTTTAAAAGGGCAAATGGACTTATAGTTGAACAGTTCTTGACACACGAGTGTGGAGTAGTAGGTTTTGTGGAGTAGTCGAATGTGTGGTTTCCTCTCTGATGTAAGACAAGGCCCTTCAGCATCCTTTCCAGGGAGAGTTGAAGGCACTTTGGAATTGTGAGTGTTTGATATTTCTTTGTTTCTAGTGAGCTGATTGAGCAGAGTATTTAAGAATCAAATTGATCTGTCATTAAAGTTTGTTCCTTTTTCATAAGTGATTTGCAATAGTTATTTAAGAATGTATATGTAAGGATGGAGATTGGTAATTTATCTTTAAAAAGATTTGTGTTTTGGAAATTTTCAAACACAGAATGTATAAATAATCGTACTATGAATCCCCATATATGACACCCACCTTCACCAACCATATAACTTTTATTTTTAGAAATTTACTTTATGTACTATAAATGATTTAATCTCTGCTGATAACCAAATGGTGACATTAAAGCAGTGAGAAATCTCTGCTCTTTTTTATTATTATTTTTTTTACCATTGCTTTAGGGAGGAGGAAATGGCATTAAAAAATTCAGATTATTTTATGAGCTTATTGAATGGTTTCTTTAAAATATTTTTTACTAAGGCTAGATTTTATGCACCCACCACGATCTTCATTGATGAGATAGATTCCATCTGCAGTCGAAGAGGGACCTCTGATGAACACGAGGCAAGTCGCAGAGTCAAGTCGGAACTGCTCATTCAGATGGATGGTAATTGGTATTTAATTACTGTTGCCAAACTGTTTTATTTCCTTTTGGAATGTTGTGTAGATTCATATTGTGGAAATCCTCAGTGAAGGGACTAGAAGGCAGCCCGAATTTATTTGCAGTCATTTGTTCACCCACCCATGTGTTCACGCATTCAGCAAAAGCATTTATTGCGTACCTGTTATGAACCGTGTACCCTTTCGGCTTCTGAAGTTACAAAGAAAAGGAATGTCAGGGCCTGCAAGGGCTTAACTATTAAGAGCAGAGGTTCCAGAGATGTGGTCCAGGGCCCCAGGGGTCTTTAAGACCCTTTTAAAAGGTCTGCAAAGGCTGAACTATTTTCATGATCATATCAAGACGCTATTTGCTCTTTTTCATTCTCATTCTCTCCTGAGAATATGGTGGAGTTTTTCAGAGGGCACAAGACATTTAGGATGTCATAGTAGATGGAAAGCAGAAGCAGATATGAGAATCCAGCTGTTTTCTGTTGAGTCAGACATTAAAGAGATTTACAAAAATGTGGGAAAATGCCACTCTTCTTACTGATTTCCTTTTGGTTTTGAAAATCAGGGTTATTTTTCATAAAATGCTATTTATAGTAACAAATGGTAGATTCACTGTCATAGTAAAATGAATTAATCTTCTAAAAAAATTCTCCATTTTAATTTTTAATGGTAAATATTGATAGTTATATTCCACACAGACAAAAGCTTTTTGGAGCTCAGTAATTTTTAAGAGTATAAAAGAGGCCTGACGAGCACCTGGGTGGCTCAATCGGTTAAGTGTCTGACTCTTGATTTCAGCCCAGGTCATGATCTCAGGGTTCATGGATTTGAGCTCTGCATCAGCCTCTGTGCTGACAGCTCGGAGCCTGCTTGGAATTCTCTAAATAAGTGAATAAATAAATGAACTTAAAAAAAAATAAAAAGCATGAAACCTAAGAGTAAAACCACTGGTCTAGTTGGGAAGCAGACAACTTAACACATTATACATTGTGTGGTAGAACTAAACTCTGGGTGTAGTGAAAACACAGTAGGAAAGGTACCACCCGGACCAAGGGAGTCATGGAAGGGAACAGGCGAGTTGGGCTTTGAAGCTTTTGTTTTTCAGACAAAGGAATGGCATTGAAGGAAGAGAGTGATGGGCCAGAGCCTGCTTTTAGAGGTTTATTATTATCCTGGTGGTTGTGTGCTGTATGTAAAATGTGTTAGTATCCAGAATGCGTTGTTTCAAAGCAAATACGGTTATACACCAACTGGGGATACTTCCTGAATGCTTGTAGTGTATGTTATATACGGTGCCTGGCACTATAAGATACATGGCCTTCCTTCAAAGCGTTTATCATTTTAATTTCTGCTAAAGTATGAAAGAAAAGAATATGTTATATTTTGAGGGAGGGATCTAGAGGAAACCTATCAGATGTTTTAAAAATATCACTGAATATAAATTTAGCTGAATTTCATCAAGGTGTGTTTGTGACTACTGTTCTGTTGATTATTAGATTCTTTTTATTTTTTTGAGAGGGAGAGATTGGGTGCAAATGAGTGAGGGGCAGAGAGAAAATCCCATGAGGGGCAGAGAGAGAGAAAGGGAGAAAGGGAGAAGGAGAGAGAGAGAAGCAGGCTCACCCAAAGCAGGTCTTGAGTTCACCCACTGTGGGACCCGAACTCATGAACTGTGAGATCATGACCAGAGCCAAAGTCAGATATTTAACAACTGAGTCACCCAGGCACCCTGGATAGCTTGATTCTTTGTGGCAATGGTTGAATCAGGAGTTTAGTAATAATTTATTAAGAAAATACCATATTGAACTGGGTTGCTTTAAATTCACTACTTTGTGGGGCGCCTGGGTGGCTCATTCTTTCAGTTAAGCGTCCAACTTTGCTTCAGGTCATGATCTCACAGTTCATGGGTTGGAGCCCTGCATTGGGCTCTGTGCTGACAGCTCAGAGCCTGGAGCCTGGTTCAGATTCTGTGTCTCCCTCTCCCTCGGCCCCTCCCCACTCACACTCTGTGTGTGTGTCTCTCTCTCAAAAATAAATATTTTAAAAAAATTTTAAAAATATAAATTCCCTACTTTGTTATGCCAGGCTATAACTAGAAACTTTTATCAATAAAGTTTGTGACTTTTTTATTTTTTTTCCACCACACATTTTCTAGAGTTACACATCTTCAGATTGTGTAATCCGAAGTTTTTTATTTAAAATTTTAATTCTGGAAAAGTAGACTCAATGTGCGTGTATTTGGTTTGGTATAAAAAGAAATGGTATTTTCAGTAGTGACTGATTATTAGGTTTAACCTGAAATTTTTTGTTCATTTTTAACAAGTCACTTAGAAGTTTGAAGGATAAAATTACTGCAGTATAACCCGTCACGTTGTGATTATGTGCTAGTACATTCGTAGATGTGAATCTTCTTCTTTCTTGCTGAGAAAACAAATTGGACTAACAACTAAAACAAAACTTTTTGAGGAATTTCATGATTAAAAAAAATAAGGAATAAAACACCATGATCTCCCATGCCTTTTCTTTTCAGAGCAAATAAATATACATTCATTTTCTAACAGGAAAAAAAAAAAAAGGTTTTTCTTATTGGATTAGAGTGTGTGAATTGTTACCTCCTTGTTATATAGTTATCTGTTGATGTGTCTGGTTCTGCCACCATTCAGAGGTCAGAAGGACTGCATTATTTTCGTCATTGAGCCTCTGACGCAGCCTGTGGCTGATGCTTAGAGATGTGGGTTGAAGGAGAGAATAAAGGACTGTAAGAAAAACTCCTTCTTTTACCTTTACTCTTCATAGGAGTTGGAGGAGCTTTAGAGAATGATGATCCTTCCAAAATGGTTATGGTTTTGGCTGCTACTAATTTCCCGTGGGACATTGATGAAGCTTTGAGAAGGAGATTAGAAAAAAGGATATATATACCTCTCCCAACAGGTATGATGCCTTCCTTTTACTGTATTTTTCTTTTTCTTTTACTTCCTATTACCTTTTTTGATTTCTGTAAGAATTTAGTTCATTGGCGTTCTACTTCAAGGTTGTAGTGTCACAAAACCAATTTGTAGTAGGTGGAAAAATAGGACACAGTAGCAGTCTGTCGCATTCCTTACATTTCAGAGCAGTATTCATGTTAGTAAATTTGATAAGATACCTAAATTTTTACTTTTATTTTCTTGAATGTTTAGTTTTGAGAGAGAGAGAGAATGAGAGAGAGAGCAAGCACATGCAGGCAGGGGAGGGGCAGAGAGAGAGGGGGACAGAAGATCTGAAGCAGGCTCCAGGCTCTGAGCTGACAGTAGAGAGCCCAGTGTGGGGCTCAAACTCACTAACTGAGATTCGGAACTGAGCCAAAGTTGGACGCTTAACGAACTGAGCCACCCAGGCGCCCCTAAATTTTTACTTTTACAATCCTCATTAAACCCAATTCATTAAAAATAAAGTTCTCTTGGGATTTTCATCAAAATATGCTGCTTTGAAAAATATAATTCATCCTATTGATGACTGTTGAAATTTTCACAAGTGAATTTTTTTCTTTTTATATTGAGATAAAATTTAAATCTTAAGTGTGTCATCTGGTGAGTTTTGACAAATGAATATTCCTGTTTCATCAGTACTACATCAAGATGTAGGATATTTCTGCACCTCAGGAAGTTATTACGTGCCCCATGTCAGTTAATTCAAACCCTTAATGGACATTACCTTTCCTGATTTTTGTCACCATAGATTAATTTTACCTATTACTAAACCTCATATAAATGGAATCGTAACATATGTAACTCTTGTGTGTCTGTTACTTTCACTCACCATAATGTTTTGAGATTCATCCACACGGTTACATGTATTGATACATTCCTGATAAGATTATGCCACAATTTACATATTCCTTTTTCAATGAACATTTGAGTTATTTCTAGTTTGGAGCTATTATGAATGAAGCTATAAATAATTCTTATACAATGTTTTTATGGATGAGTGTTTTGGATCCTTTTGGGTATGATAGCTAAGAATAGAATAGGTGGGTCCTAGGGTAGATCTGTATATGTTTACGTTTATAATACCCAAACTTTTCATAAAGGGTTGTACCATTTTACTCTTTCACCATCAATGAACAAGAAGTCCAGTGTTTCCATATTCTTGCCAACATTTCATATGGTCAGTATTTTTAATTTTAGTCCTCCTAACAAGTCTAAAATGCTATAATTATGGTTTTAACTTGTGTTTCTCTAATGACTAGTGATGTGGAGTGCCTTTTCATGGGCCTTTTGGTCATTGGTATGTCTTTTGTGCAGTGTCTTTTCAAGTCCTCTGCTCAGTTTTTAACTGGTTCATTTGTTGTTCTATTAATGCTGTGTAGTTCTTTATCAGATACATGCATCTTGAGTATTTTCTTCCAGTTTGATTTGCCTTTCAATTTTCTTTATGGTGTCTATTGATAAGGAAAAGTTTTAATTAATTAGTTATTTAAGTTTATTTATTTATTTTTAGAGAGAGAGAAGGAGAGAGAGAGAGAGAGAGAGCACACGAGCAGGGGCGGGGCAGAGAGAGAAAGGGAGAGAGAGGATCCCAAGCAGTCTGCACTATCAGCACAGGGCCCAACACAGGGCTTGAACCCACGAACCATGAGATCATGACCTGAGCTGAAACAAAGAGTTGGACACTTAATCTAATGAGCCACTCAGGTGCCCTGGAAAAATTTTAATTTTGATGAAGTCTTGTTAAGTTTTTCCTTTATGGATAGTGCTTTTTGTGTCTTAAGAAGTCTTTGTTTACTCCAAGGGGTGAAGGTTGTCTCCTATTTTTCTTTTAGAAACTATGGTTAAATCTGTGATCCATCTTGAAGTAATTTCATGTGTCTAGTATCGGTTAGAGGTTGAGTTTAGTTTTTTTCAAATATATATCAAGTTGTTCTAAGCACCACTTGTTGAAAGGAGTTTTCATTTTACATTGAGTTAGCTTGGCACCTTTGTTGAAAATTATTTTGCTGTGTGTGTGGGTCTGTTTCTCAGTATTCTGTTCTATTCCATTGACTTAAAAATAAATAAGGATTAGGCTGTCTAGTTAGGTTATCTGTTTTTTCTCGAGTAAGTTTTGGTAGATTGTCTTTCAAAGACTTTGTCCATTTCTTCTAATTTGTCAAATTTATTGGGATTTGACCTAATACAAATGTGCAAGCTGACTAAAGGGTTTATGTGAGGCTGTTGATGTCATGTCTGGTTCTGAAGCCTGAGGTCAGTAGCGAGGACAGTCAGGAAGAGAAGATGAAGTGGTGGAAAGGACAAATGATAACCTCCAGAGATGAGCTGGAACTCTGTGAGGACAGACTGGAACCTGTGTTGAGCTCTGATTGCCTCTAAGACTTCCAGCTTTGATGATTGGGGGTTCCTATTGAAGAAGCTGACACTGTTCAGAACAGTTTTAAGTATACATGTGGCTGGGGAGTCAGAAAATCTCAAGGAGGAAATCTGGCAGGAGCTGCCCCACATTAGCAGGGTGAGCCAGCAGGTAAGTACAGTATGCTTGAGCTGCAAATGCACTTCATGCCCTGAACCAGCGTTCTGTGTTGATTCATTTCTGACTTTTAAGTTTCACTCATAATGAATCATGTGGCACACACTGATCCAAAACTAGGCAATGAGGAGAATTCTAGGAAATGAAATTACAGCTTTGGTTAAGTTGACATAATACAAATATACATACCTAATTTTCCTTTTATTGTCTGTAGAATCTATAGTAATGGCTCAGTTTTCATTCCTAAAATTGGTCATTTGTCTTTTATCTCTGTTATTCTTGATCATCTTGGTCTAGAGATTTATCAATATTATTAATCTTTAAAAAACTCAGTATTTTGCTTTGCAGTTTTTCTGTTTCCTATCTCATTGATTTTTTTCTATCATTTCTCCATTTAATTTTCTCTTTCCAAAGTTAGAAATTTATACTGTTGATTTTAAACCTTTCTTCTTTTTTAAATATAAATATTTACAGCTGTAAACTTCTCTTTGTGCACTGCTTTGGCTTTATCCCACAGATTTTGCTATAGCATATTTTCTTTATTATGAATTAGAAATATTTTCTAATTTTCCTTTTTTTCTTTGACTATTGGGTTATTTAGAAGTTTATGGTTTAATGTCCAAATATGTGAGGATTTTCTAGATATTTTCTTATTGATTTTTAATTCAATTCCATTATAGTCAAGAACTACCCTGTAGAATGTCAATTTTTAAATTGTATTTAATTTATAATTCAGCATATAGTCTTTCTTGGTGACATGTTTCAGTTGCAATTAAATAGAATGTTATTCTGTGTTTGTTGATTACAATATTCTGAAATTGTTGGTCAGATCAATTTAGTGTGATAGTATTGTTCAAATCTTCTAGATCCTTACTGATTTTTTTACTCTGAGAATGGGTTGTTAAACTTTTCAGATATGATTGTGAATTTGTTTATAACTGTTTGCCTTAATTCTCTCAATTTTTGCTTTATGGATTTTGAAGTTCTGTCATTAGGTACATAAATAGTTATCATTGTTATATCTTCTTTGTCCTTCTACCATTATAAAATGTCTCTCTTTATCTCTGGTTATATACTCTTTGGCTTGATGTTAACTCTTTTTTTTAAATGTTTATTTTTGAGAAAGAGAGTGAGCAGGGGAGGTATAGAGAGAGAGGGAGACAGAGGATCTAAAGTGGGTTCTATGCTGACAGCAGAGAGCCTGATGCAGGGCTTGTGCTCACAAACCATGAGATCATGACCTAAGCCAAAGTTGGATGCTTAACCAACTGAGCCACCCAGGCACCCAGCTTGATGTTTACTTTGATATTAATACAGCCTCACCATCTTTCTTCTGCTTCCTGTTTTCATGATATATCCGCTTTCTTTAATTTTCACCCTGTCCTTATTTTTACAGTGTAGTTCCTTCAGACAGCATATAAATTAGGTCTTGCTGTTTATCCAGTTTGTCTCTGCTTTTTAATTGGAGTGTTTAGTCCATTTAAGTATAGTGTAATTATTGATATGGTTGTGTTTAAGTGTGCCATCTTGCCATCTTCCTTTTGTTTGTTTCTCTGTACCTCTTTCCCTAATTTCTTTTGGTAATGGACTATTTTTTATACAATTTAATTCCTTTGTTGAGTTTTTTACATATTATCTATTTCTTTTTTTAGCAGTTAATCTAGGGATTGCAATATGTACCTGTAACTTTTCACATTGACTTAGAGCTAGTACTATACCACTTCATGTAAAATGTAATAACTGTTTGCCTCCCCCTGCCTTTGTGCTGTTTTGTCATGTATTTTATACCTACATTCATTGTAGATCCTGCAATATAATGAGCTTTAAATTGTCAGTTAAAACTTAAAGTAAGGGGAGCACAAAAATGTAGTGTTTTCCATTTACCTACATAAAAACGAAAAGCTGCTCTGCTTTTCGTTTTTAAGGTCCAGATTTTCATCTGGGTCTATCTCCCATTTGTCTAGAAAACTTCCTTTAACATTTCTTCTGGTTTAAGGTCTGCCAGCAACAAGTTTAGTTTTTGTTATCTGAAATGTCTTTATTTCACCCTTATTTCTGAAGGATATTCTTGACAAATAATTCTGGGTTGGAAAGTTTTTTTGTTTTGTTTATTCTTTCATTGCTTATAAGGATATCATTTTATCATCTTCTGGCCTCCACTGCTTTTTGCTGTGAAGTTAGCTGTCATTCATATCATTGTATGTAATGTGTTTTTCCCTTCTGGCTATTGTTTTTCAAAATCAACTTTATTGAAAAATGATTTATTTATGCTAGCCTTTATCCACTTAAAATGTGATGTTGTTGACAGTTGTATACACCCATGAAACCATACCGTAATCAGGGTGCAGAACATATCTTTCATTCTGATAGGATTTCTTGTGCCCCTTTGTCTGTTCTTTCTCCCCAACACCTTCTATCTCAGGCAACCA